CCATTGTGGGTCGTATCACCTTGGGTTGACGGTTCTGGGACCTATTAGAAATCAGGCTGAGCAAGCTGGTAAATAGCACCTACCTCCCATGGTCTCCGCATGAGCTCCTGCCTTCATGTTCTTTCCCTGTTTGAGTTCCTGTCCTGACTTCCTTTGATGATGTGGAAATATAAAACAAATAAACCCTTTCCTCCCCAAGGTGCTTCTCGTTATGGTGTTTCATCACAGCAACAGTAACCCTAAGTAAGACATCCAGCTTTTCTTTTTCGATGAGTCTTTTGAATATACTAATTTCATATGATTTCTTTCTTTCTCTCTCTCTCTCTCTCTCTCTCTCTCTCTCTCTCTCTCTCTCTTCATATCATTCCCAACAAGTTTGGAGCTTTGTAGGATTCTACTTTAGGTTAGGATGAGTCGCTCATACTCACACATCAAATAAATAATCATGGGATCTGAGAAATACTATGCACCAAGTTGGAGGCCCTGCTTTCAAGGAAATTTCATTTCATATTGACAAGAGAGAAATGTTAAAGATGTGAAAAAAAATGCTAGAGACACCAGTGAAGATGAGAATCTGGAGTGGACTGTCAATTTTAAAACTACTAAAAAGCCTTAGTGGCGGTGGTATATGCCTTTAAACTCCAGCATTCAGGTGTATCTCTGTGATTTTGAGGCCAACTTGGTCTGTATCATGAATTCAGGACAGCCAGGGCTACACAGAGAAGCCCTGTCTCAAAAAACCAAGAAGAAAAAAGAAAAAAAAATACTTCTCTTACTACAAATTAGAGATACCAGATAGGTTATTTCATGCAACTACTCACACATCCTGTACCCAGTAGACATTGTTAATCAGTCACAGAACATTTTCCTTCTGAGACTGGACTCACCTAATTTCACAGCACATTTTACTCAGGCAACTACTGTAAACAGATCAAAGTTGAAATGAAATTGACACCTACTTGCCATCCAAGGGACACTAATCTAAATGCTACCACTAAGTAAATCAGCCCATTCTGGAACTGTGTACTCTACTTAATTAGGCAGGAACATTTGCACAGTGCATAGAATTGACTTAATGTAATGTGCTTTGTGATTGTAACAATGGTATACTTTGAAGGAACCTGTGTGCAGTTCCTCTAAGAGTCAGCTCTCTCCTTCTACTATGGGTTCCAGGGATCATGCTTATGTCTTAGGCTTGTACAGCAAGCACCTTTACTAACCGAGCCATCATGTTGATATTGTGATTTTTTTAAGATATTTTCTGCATAGCTCACAATATCACCCTCATTACAATTTGAAATTTTTCCTTTGTGCTAAAATTTAAGCATCATATGTCACAAAACCAGTAAAACAAATTGTATGAGGTACTTTTACCATTTCTTTTACCACCAAGTCTGACAGAAACAACATAAGGAAGTAAATATTTCTTTTCACCCAGCTTCAGAGAGTTCAGTCCATTATGGCATGAAGGGTGTCACAGAGCAAGACAGTTCATGACATGGTGAGCCAGGAAACAGACAGATGAGAAATCCCAATTGTTCCATTTTCCTCTCTGTTGCTGACCAACAGCAACTTAAAAAATCTATTTGGTTTACACTTCCAGGTGTAAACAAAAACTTCAAGCAGGAGCTTGAAGCCAGGCCTGGTCCTGCCCACTATTCCAAATAGCATCTTTGACCAAAGAAATAATTCATAGTCAAAGAAGTATAGCAGAAAACATGGAGGAACATTGTTTGGCTCAATTGCAGACACCTACTTAGCTGGCTTTTTTTTTATACAACCCAGGACCACCTGCTTAAGGAATGGTGCTGCCCATAGTAGGCTTGGCCCTCTACATCAAGTAACAAGACAATTACTCACAGACAAGTTTACAGGCCAGTATGATCTGGGCAATCCCTTAACTGAGACTCCCTTCTTAGGGAACTCTAAGCTCCATCAAACTGAGAGTTAACGCTAACTAGGCTGTCAGTGCTTGGCTTGCTTTCTCCTTTGCTCATTTTAGTCAGTGTAGATCACCAGCTCATGGAATACTGCTGTGAATATTCAGAGTGGATCCTCCCAATCTTCTCCAGAAACATACTCTTGGACACCCCCATAGGTATGCTTTACCATCTTGTACATGATTTTACATTCAGTCAGGTTGACAATGAAAATGAACCATAGAGAGAAACCAAGCTGTAGTTTTAATTTATGAATATTAAACTTTTTGTCATACTCTCTTCATAGGAGCACAAGGAATGCAGAGGCAGCCCACCACCCCATTTTATTTTATTTTTTTAAGTTTCTTTTTTTAAGATTTACTTATTTTGTTATGTATACAATGTTTCGTCTGCATGTACACCTGAACACCAGAAGAGGGCACCAGATTTCATTAAAGATGGTCGTTAGCCACCAAGTGGTTGCTGGGCATTGAACTCAGGACCTCTGGAAGAGCAGGCAGAGTGCTCTTAACCTCTGAGCCATCTCTTCAGCCCCCACCACCCCATTTTAAATAAAGATTTTCCCCTTCATGTTGAGAAACCTGAATTTTTGCCTTACTTTTACTTGTTACTGACTGCATTTTTTTTTATTTTTAAAGTATTTGATTTTATTAGGTTTATGGGTCTTTTGCCTGCATGTATGTCTGTGCACCATTTATATCTGTGCCTGGTGCCTAAGGAAGCCAGAAAAGGGCATTGGCTCTCCTGGAATTGGAGTTACATATAGTTGTGAACTACCATGTGGGTACTGATAACCAAACCAGGATTCTCTGTAAGAGCAGGAAGTGCTCTTAAGTGATGAGCCATCTCTCCAGCCTCCAGAACAGTTTTTGACCAAATATCTGGGCACTGTGTTCCAGGCAGTTTAATGAAGCTATAACCATTAATTGCAAAATCTCACAAAAGAAATTGGCCTCTGTAAAAATCTTTGTTTTTCCTTTGATCTTTTATTCTCCCTTAGAACAAAGTCTCTGTCTTTCTCACAACTGTCCACTCTCTCCCACAGTTTCCCACTACCTTTCAGCTCCCCACTCCTTTGGGAAAACAAGGTCTCAGTTGTGTATACCTGACTGGCCTAAAACTCACTATGTAGACCAGACTGCCTCCAAACTTGCAGTAATCTACCTGCTTTTGCTAGTTGTATGTGCCATCACATCAGGCCTCGTTTTCTTTTTATTTCACAATTATTTTTATTTCCACAAGTCCTCATTTACTTTTGTTGTCACTCTTTTTCTAATTATCCACTTTTAGACAATTTTCCACTGTAGCCCACAGTTTCCCATTATGTTCTCCACTTCTATCTCTTACACAATTGCAACTGAAACATGTTACAAATGAGGCAGAGTTCTCAGGGGCAGGATGAGGTTAATCAAATGATCTGTTGTAATGTGTTCTTTTGAGGACAACATTTTGACTATTCTCACCATCTTCAAGCCAGAAATGTAACAGAGGTAGAGGAAGCACAAAAGAACTGATATGCATGTCTTCCTCTGTGGCCTGGCAAGGCTGTGACCTGATAGGCTAGGATCAGATAGTAGGGAGGCAGTCTTTCCCTATTAGTGGACTGGGAGAGGAGCATAGAAGACTAGGGGAGGTGCATAGGGGAGGGAGGGTGAGACTGGGAAGAGATGAGGGAGGGAGCTACAGCTGGGATACAAAGTTAATAAATTGTAATACATTTATAAATAATAATAAATAAAAATTAAAAAACTGATATACAAGCATAATGTTTTTTGTATTAGGATATGAAGATGTATAGCCAGCCAGCAAGTCACAGAGCAATGAGGGCAGTAATTGTGTCTTTGTGTGCATCTGAAAAGATAGGTACTCACTAAAGATCAATGGGGAATTTGTTGTATGAACTAATGTACTAAGTACTATAAAATGTGTTTATGTGTTTGCTGTCCAGTAATATTCTTGCTAAGGGGATTGAGCAGACCTGTGAAATGAGAAATTTAATTCATGCTACTGTCATGCACTTTGTGTTAAACTACCTAAAATGTGATTTGAGAAACATACTTGCTGGTACTATGAACAGAAAACAATAGATATTAAGCTTTTATCACCTGACACTCTATTTGTAAGCAAAGTTGCTTTAAGAAGTAATTATAAATTAGCAGTGGGCTATAGATGTGACCAACGTCCCCTTTCTGACCTCCGTGGACACCAGGCATTCATGTGGTGGACATACATGCAAAATAATAAAATACATGAAAAAAATTAATCAAAAATATTTTAAAGAAGGAAGCATAATTTCAGGGTAATTAAGAGGAGGAGGAGGGTCTGTGACTACTACGTCCTCTTCCCTGTCAACTCCTTGCTACGTCTTGTTTGCCAGAGATGTAGCTACAGCATGAATGTGATTTGAATGAATGAGTCAGGGATGTAAGTAAAAGCACAGCAAGTGGGTTGTAACTTCACGTTTTTCTTTGACTGGAAGGAGGAAGGATAACTGAGTGTGTACTCTCAGAGCACCGAGCCACAACCAGAATTTGAATTAATGTCAAGAGGATCAGTCCCTACATAGCAAGAGGGCACTGGTCACCTAAGAAAAATCATCTGAAGGAGACTACAGAAAAGAGAGAGGAGAGTGCTTATTTGGTGTCTCTGCCTTGCCTTCCAGGGTTTCTTTTCCTAGTGAGGTCGCCTGTCCTGAACATGTCAAAATCATGGTGTTTGGAGGAGACACTTTTTAAACTAGGCTTTTGGGCCAGCAGTCTGATTTTATCTGAGAAATGTTGCTTTTAGCCCAGAAACGTTGACGGCAGAGGGCAGAGAGAGAGGGAAGCAGGGCTAGTCCAGACAAGAGGGTCGGGTGGGGTGGGGCTCAGGAGCATGGCTAGGGCTGAGTGGCGAGGTGTAAGTAGAAGTGGTGTATTAAGGCAGAGAGCAGAGCAACACCCGGTCCAAATGGGGCGTGATTAGGGCGGTCTCTATGGCTCTAGAGACTCTCGCAGGGCTGGAGGGGCGAGGGTTGGCTTCTAAGAGGCGTGGCGCAGGCGCCAAGGGGCGAGGCCTTGACGGACCTTTGCGAAACGCAGGTCCTGGGAAGCTAACATGCAAGTGGCACTTGTTAAGTGTTCTTGGAGAAACATTCAGGTAAGGATGGGCAGCCCAGTGGAGTGGGAGCCTCGGGGAGTTTAGACAGACCCAGAGAGGACCGCGACTCTACCCTGTACCTTCCACCCGACCGATCCAGGTGTCTGGAGCAGCAACAGCTGTTGGTTCTGCCAGTCTTGCCTCAATTCCCGCGGCCTGACGAGGGAGTTTCCTCTTTGCCCCAGCCCTTTCTCCACAATTGGGAGTCATCAGACTCCTGACAGCTCTTTGTTTGTTTGTTTTGTTTTGTTTCACTTGAGAGAGTTTGTCGGACCCAGGGAGGAGCAGACCCTTGTGAGGGCATGTTGTCAGTTAGCTGAATCTAAGTGAGAAAGTCCAGCCTGTTTAAAAAAAAAGGCCGGAGACTAAGGTAAAGATTACCAGTTCTGAGGCTGAGTTCAGAAACTGAGGTGCAATGAGTCAAGACTCTCTCAAATCAGAATGGTGTTTCTTCTTCATCTCCACCCCTACTAAGCCAGGAGCTGGGGACAGGCTCACAGCTATCCCTAGGCTGCGGCGCACTGTCAGAACTATGCCTGCAGAAATCATAAACTTTTTCACCCTGAAATTATTCCTTCTGGCCTTGTCTTTTTGTGCCCCGCCCTAGATCCAGAGGAGAGGTACCTCCAAAATACAGAAGGATGATTAGTGATGGCTGTTCTTTGAGACAGTCTTTGTTAAGTATTTCTGCCTTGAGGCTGGTGGCGGCTTTTTAATATTAATGTCAGTGCCCTCCCTTTAAATGTGCTTTCTCTGGAAAGGTTTGAGAAACATTAGTGGGCACAATTTAGTTCAGTGACAACTTGCGCCTTCTCAACCATTGAAAACTTAGTTCTTTGCTTTCTGCTTCCTGCTGGTAATCTGTTATCTTCTGTATGTGCTGCTGTGTAAAACTTGCCTAGATTATGAACAGAAGTAGCCCAATTTTTTATGATTTTGTGTGTGTGTGTGTGTGTGTATGTGAAACTGCTACAGACCCTGCACATTGTTCAGAGCAGGTTCACAGATATGCTGGAAAAGAAACCCTTTCTTCTTAGGAGTTTCTTCCTTTTTTCACAACCTTTAAAATCACGCTAAATTTCTTTGAAGGCCTGAAGCAGCAAGGGTGCCATTCTCAGCTGGGAGTCATGCTCCCAGGGAAAAAGTGAGTGAGAGGAGAAAGCTGAACTTACTCCATCAGGATTTGGCAAGATAATCTCTAATTCAGATTTGAAGAGTTGCAAAAGCCCCGCTTCCTTTTGAAATCAAGAGTCCATCTGATGAGAAACAACAGTTTCTTTCAATGTGATTGTAACCTTTATTCAGAACACATTTTCTTGATGCTGTCTGTTTTGCACAAAGTAAGTTTAATCAGGCAAAGTTCACACTACTTATTGTAGTAAATACACAACTTATGAAAGATTCTTTAGGAGCTTTTTACATGTTCTCCCTCTCACACAGAACATCAGACATGTCAATAAAATCCAAGGATCTACATAAATAATCAGTGAGAGCAAAACGCACACACGTGTGGGAAGCTTAGTTTCCCTGTGGCACATTGATACATCTTTATGCATGGCATGCAGTAATATATGGTGGTAAATCATTGAGATGTGATACGTTTGACAATTAAATGCTATTTACTGTTTAATAAGGTTGAACACTATGAGTTCAGTCAGCAAGTTATAAACAGCCAACTCTCAGGAAATTATTACTTTCAGTTTAACAGAAGCTATTGGCCGTAGACCTGAACATTAAAAACTCAAGTATTGTTATAGGTAATGTAGCCTAGCAGTAGTTAAAGGGAGTTTCTACTTATTCAGATTTTCTTGGAACTCCCTTCATCCCTGACCTTTCCTGTTCAGTTTCTTTCCTGACTCTTTACTCCTTTGCTGTTTTGGCTGCTCTTAACTGTCCCTTCGGCCATTCTCCCTCGGTATACCGGTAACTCTTAGAGGGGGCTCATTTTGTTTTGTGTCTAGCTTTGTAACTGCTCCTACACAACAGAAATGCTTTGCCAACTATCCTCTTGGCTCCCCCGTTGGTGTCTCCAGTCAAGTACAAGCGATGGTGAGACCACTATGTGTTCTTGTTGCTCACATGAGTGGCTTTCTCTTGTTTCTCTTTTCAGCGATTCGTTCTTTTTTCTACAAGCCGTCCAATTGTGAGCATTTCTTTGATTTGTTCATTGACTATAAACCTTACTGCTTTGATTTAATATCAAAATGGCATTCTACCACCGAGCCATCTCAGGGACATTTTGTTGCTGTTTTGCTTTTTTGTTTGTTTGTTTGCTTTAGCTCTGACTGGCCTGGAATTTGCTTTGTAGCCCCAGTTGACAACAAACGCACTGTGATCCTCCTGCCTCACCTTCCCAAGTTCTGAGATTATAAATGTGTAACACACCCAGCTCCAAGGCAATTTTTAAATGGGTAACACTGAGTGATCTTATGTAAATATAAGTCAGATTGCTATTTCTTTGGTCAAAAATCTGTCTTTTCACCTTCATTTTCCTGAGAATGCTATCCTCCACCTGGGATGACCTTTTTCCCCAGGCAACATCTGGCAATGTGTAGAGATGTTTTTGTTTTTCCAGCTCTTGTGTAGGTGCTACTAGCTTCTACTGGAGCCCAGATAGTAAGGATGTGGTAAACGCCAATGTACAAGTACAATGTACAAGACAGCCCCTCAAAACTAGCAATCTTCTAGTTAAAAATGCCAAGTTTAAGAAACCTTGGTTTAGAGAAAGAACCATTATTATGGTCTAGAAGTCTACTGTATGTGACATCCATTGCCATCCATTGCCTCTGGATCTCATATGCTCCTTTTTTTCCCCTGGTCACTTTGCTTTGGCCATATTAGCCTCCTTACTATCCCTTGAATACGCCAGTTATGTTCCTACCTCAGGGTCTTTGCACAAACATTTTACCTTACTTGAGAATGCCCTTTCTTTAGATACTCTCTTCCCCTTTCAGTCCTTCCTTCAAATGTTACCTTGTCAGTGAGGCCAAATATAGCACTTCTACCCCAGTGGCACTCCAGATTCACCATATCCTGATCCATATTTCATGGAACATACTTGAATAGTCCCTATCATTGGCTTATCACACTACTTGTTCACTATCTGTTTCTCCCTTTCAAAACATGAGCTTCACAAGGATAGGAACTTTGTTTCATTCCCCTGAGCCTAGAAGACTGTCTGGCATTTAGTAGATATTCAATTGCTATCTTGAAGAAACAAACAAACAAACAAACAAAGGGTTACTGAAGTAATCAACTGTTCCTTGACTTGTCTGGCTCACCTCTGCCTGCTGCTCAGCTGCCAGAACCATCAGAAACCATCCGTTATATAGGAGGACATGCAAAACTCTTGTAGTCTCTGGGAAACTTGTATTCTCCCAAATCAATCCCAGATCTTCATCCAGCCCTGCCTTCTGCTGCATGCCCTTGTATCTCCTAGGCCAGTGCAATTTCAGGGATGATGGGTAGGAGGTTCAGCTATATTTTCACCTAGTTTCAAAAGAGAGATCTGAAAGTATATATATTCTTATATAACCCAGTCTGGACTTGAATTCCATACATAGCTGAGGATGACTTTGAAGTTCTGATCCTCCTGACTTTGCCTTCTAAGTTCTGAGTACTAGTACTATAGGCCTGATCCACCATGCCCTGTTTATGGGGTACTGGGGAATCAAACAGGGCTTTATACATTTTAGGCAAGCATGATACCAACTGAGCCACATCCTTAGTCCCCTGTTGTTGTTTTGTTTTTTCCATATAACACACAAAAAAGTCAAGAGTTAGGCTCCTTTAACTTTCTTACAGTGAGATTAGCAATCAGATTTCCAGAGCCCTAACTGCCTTTCTGAAGAATGACAAAGAGAGTAAGGGTGACATCAGGTGCTCTAGAGACTTCCGAACTCCTGCCCCTAAAAAGCCAGTCTGAAGATGCAGAGGAAATGCTTCTTCTGGGCCAGGTGTTAGGGATCATCAGCTTGCACGTTGTTATATGACAGCGTGGTTGTTGAGTGTGAGGCATTCATTCACCCTGGTGTGACGGAGGCTCTGTGTTCATTCTCAACTTGCCAATCAGCCCAGCCTCACCTCAGGGATTTCCGGAAAACTGTATGAGGGAATGAAGCCATAGGCAGGACTTCTCTGGGAACCATGCTAACGTCTAACGCCCCCAGAGAGTGCCTGTGCAGGATCTTGTGCTCTGGCCATTCATCTGTTTGTACAGTTCTTGTGACCAGCCAACATACCCTTGGCTTTTGTCTTATCACAACCTTCTATTTGAAGGCTGAGCTGCTATACTTCTTCTGTTGAGTACACACTGTACCTGCAATTAACTTCCCGAAAGTTACTAAGTCGCTCATACCACTCACATTGTCAGCAAGAAAGGAGTCTTTTTGTGTGTGGAGCCTTTGTACATGCCCCCCTCCCCAACAATGGCATTGATCACAGCATAAAACTGGGTTCTGCCCATTTCAACCTCAATTGCCCTTTCTGGCTTTGGTGCCTGGTCACCCTCTTCATCACTCTACCTGAAATTTCCCTTGTCCCCTGCACTTTCAGTCTTCCTGTTTTATTATCTCTGATGCCTCTGCCCTAAAACTTAGAAGCCCTAAACTGTGACTGTTATCTCAACTAGCTTTAAGAGATTTCTGTTCTGTTACACTAAATGAAGTAAGCCAGTCACAAAAATAGAATGTCATTCTGTTTATATGGGGTAGCTGGAATAGGCAGCTATACAAGGACTTATGGTAGACTAGAGGTTAGCAAGGAGTGGGAAAGAGGTATTACTAAGTACAGAGTTTACACTGGGGATGAGGAAAAAGGTTGAGCACAGAAAGGAGTGATGGCAACGTATTTAATGCTTTGGAATTTGTAGAACTAAAATTGGTTAAAATGGTAACTATGTATATTTTATCACAAATTTTTAAAGATAGAAAAAACCTAAGGTATTTTTTTTTCTTATTGATCACGAGCTTTGGGGGAGGGGCATATACCCCAGTACACTG